TCTATCTTTTTTTGATCGCTCGTTGGTTGAAGGTTGCTTCGGCAGCCCAAAAACCAATAAATTCTAAAAATTCACATAGTAACCCCTTCTTATTCGTACTTTAATAGACGCCTACAAAATAGCGCCTTATGAAAGACAACGGACATTATAATAGGCCAAATAGTCAAAACCAAAAATCAAAACTCCCGCCAAAACTAACTGAAACTCATGCCACATGATCGCCAAGTAGCAAGTCTAGTGATAGGATCTACGTTGTGTTATGAAACGAGTTGCTCGAGGATGTGTCTGTGTTGCTCTAAGGCTCTAAGCCTTAATGCAAAATCAGATCATGCAAAATACTATTGCAAAGAAATCCAACCAATATATATTACTCCCCCACACAGAACAAAAAAAACCCTGACCCATCGTACCGGCCGATAACAAACATTTGAGTCAATTTTCCTGCGAATTATTAAAATATAAATATGCGTATACATAAAAAGTTACATAACCACTAACTACCCACAAGATGCCCCTGTATATTAGTCTCAAATGAACACCACCCACACCTATGGAAAGTTCCACTTTAACTACCTACGTATCAAAAGCCCTGACTTACATTAACACCCTATACTAATATTGAACCTTCCCCTAACATATAATCGATCTAATCCCTGAAGTCAATACAGGATAAAACATTAATTGAGATAAAGGAATTTTCCTAAACTCTCAATTCCTATAAACGTAATTAAAGCGAGATTCTTTATGAAACTTTTACGCACATGAGAAAACTACGTATGCGCTATTATAGCAAATGAAAACTACCCCTAAGTACGGTCACTTTCTCCACTTATTTTATGAACATTACGCAAATTTAACTTTATAGAAGCAAACACCCTAATAAATCGACAGGCAAATATACAAAATAATTACCGTACATCCTAAGCTATTTATATCAAATTTGGAAAAAATTGGACCAATTTTAGAGCTACCGTTACACTATGTGAGTTTATACCTACAACCTTCAAAATGTTTTTTTAACCAATCATGTAGATTTGCAGACATCAGAACATGTATATAGGAGAGAGTATAATGAAAATATGGCAATGTTTTCAAAAACTAAACAAAAAGTATAGCAATAGGTTTTTGATTTTTTGTACGGGGTTGTTTTTATAAGGATTGATAAGTAAATAAATGACATAATTACATTAATATTAAAACAGTAAATGCATCTTAATTTAAATCATCATTAAGTTGATGAGAAAAACATTTTTCAACATTATTAATAATGTCATAGGGGGTGGTTTTTAGGGATTGAACATTTTAATTCATCATAAGTTAGTTATGACATTGATTCGGCGTCCGATAACATAAAAATATACAGGGTGTCGGTTTTAAAAACAAAAAGTGAAGGTCATTTCCACCTAAACCGACGCGAAACATGAACATATTACGAATTATGAAGTATATTAATACACATGAGATATTAAAAATATGGTTTATAAATAACGGAGATAGTCTACTGTTCCGGGATATTTTACTTACTCTATAGATTCCTGAGGATTTCTTTAGTTACTTTTTTTAATTTATTTCTACATGCGATATGGTCTTGTAGGTAATTTTTATTAAATTTAATAAGTAGGTATTGCAAGTTCTTTATAACTAAAAAATGATGGACGTTGTCAAATGCCCTTAATGTCAATTGAGATCGTCAAAACAAAAAAATGTATCAGAATTTTTGACTTGTGTTTAATTACAGCGTCTTCTGTAGATTTTCTTTCACTGAACCCAAATTATTTGTCAGCATTTTTTTTCTAATTTAATGCGTCCACTAATTTTTCAAGAATTTTTCAAAAGCAGTATAACAGTAGGTCGATAATTAGAATTTTTTTAATTTTAATCAATTTATTGTCGAACAGCAAAATACGCCAATTCTAATACAATCGCAATTGCAATAAATGTACATAGCTACAATAATAAACGCTAAAAGAGAAAAAAAAACAAAAATTTAAAAATTAAAAAAAAACAAGAATAGCAAACATTATCACAAGTAGCATTAATTATCCAGACTAATATAATAAGTAAAAGTCGTAAATCATAAAATAACATAAAAAAACGCAGAAAAGCTCCAGCTTTTTAAATTATTATTAAGTCATTAATTATCTATTGTTTTGGGAAAACAGCCTTTTTTTAGGCAAGTATTATAAACATTTTTGAATTTTTTTTAATGAAAGGGTACATTTTTTGATAATTTCTACTACATTCATTTAGTTAGGATCTGGAGCCTTTTTTTCTTTTTTTTTAAATTCCAATTTGGATTTCACTGTCAGAAATTGTTGTAAATAATAATAATATATATGAATAATATAAAGAATTGTTACAATTTTGAATGGGGTCGCCCTTGAGGGTAAATTGTATCTGAATCCAAATTTTTGTGCAAATTTGTGTAGGTAGGAAATTTTTACAAAACCAGAAAGCCCATATACGTTCCATTTCGAGGATTATCGATCGGTAAGCTTTCTATCCCAAGATGTCGGATACGGAAAAACCTGTGATCCCGGCGAAATTTGATCTCAGGTTTTGGAATATAATAATATAATAATAATAATAATAATAATAATAATAACGCAAAGCCAAAGAAACACTTACACAATAAACTCCATTTAATAAAATTACAGGAATTATTATAATGATTTTTGTTTTGTTTTGTTTTCCTCTTTCCTGATAGCGTTGGCTTATTGTGCCCATCAATAGTATGTTGGTAAGTATGAATTACATACTATCCCTAGATTTTTAATGTACGTGTGTATTTTTTTTTTAGGACCCTACATAACTTCACCAGACACAGACACAGACACTAATCGTTACTTGATTTTAATCCGTGCGATTAGTTAACCAGGCTAGACCTGAGTTCTCACAAGAAACACCGATAATAATAATAATTTATTGCCATAAGTTTTACATTTTGTAAACATTAGCATTGTCAGAGAAAAAATAAAGATTATACGAAATAAAGATTATACGAAATGGGCGTTGTATAGGGTTAGTCGTGTTAAATAAAGTTTCAACTCATATTTAAAACGATGCGTTGGCATTATTTTTTTAAGTGACAGTGGTAGCATATTATATGCTTTAATGGCGGATTAATAAGGTCCTTTCTCAAATGATGCAGTTCTATGTAGAGGAATTCTCAAATCTTTGTTGGTACGAGTCAGCATTGCGTCATATGTTTCAGCGTTAGTAGTAAACAAAGAGGGATTTTTTTTTACAAACATTACTAGGGAGTATACATATAATGCAGGAACAGTCATTATGCCCAATGCAGTAAAATGTGTTCTAGCAGATGATAGTGGTTTTGCGCCAGAAATAGCTCTTATTATCTGCTTTTGAGCGATAAATATTTGCTGAGAGTGACTACTAGAGCCCCAGAACATAATGCCATACAATATGTGGCACTGAACGTACGAAAAATAAAACATTTTAATACCATTTATAGAGATTTGAGTCCTAAGACGCCTTATAAGGTAACAGATTGAACTTAGTTTGCGCCTAAGCTGATTGCAGTACGCTGACCATTTCAGTTGAGAATCTAATGTAACTCCAAGAAACTTTGTTTCATTGCTTTGTGGTACCGTTTTGTCACCATTGCGCACATACAATGACCACGCATTATTTTTACCATACACCGATAATACCGTCTTTTTGTGATTTAATTCTAAGGAATTATTCCTACACCATTGGTCCATTTTATAGACAATATGAGATGCTCGGGAGGATAGTTGGCAAACATTGGGCGCCGATATTATACATGAAGTGTCATCAGCAAATTGATAGACTGACGTTACGGGGAGTGAATGACTAAGATCATTCGTATAGAGTACGAATAGAATGGGACCGAGTATCGACCCTTGGGGTACTCCATGGTTAATGGTCAACGGTGATGAGTAAGCAGTTTGTAAATTACTGTCAACAGTATGCGTAAAACACACTCTTAAAGTTCTGTTTTCTAAATAGGATTTAATTAATTTAAGTCCATTTCCTCTAAAACCGTATCTTTCTAATTTTGATAACAGTACACCGTGGTTCAGAGTATCGAACGCCTTACATAAGTCGAAATAAATGGCCGCGACACATTGACGTCTGTCTAATTCATTTAATATATGAGATATGGAATGAAAAATTGCGTTATGAGTTGTGGAGTTCGGTATAAATCCAAATTGTGACGCAGAAATGATCTTATTCCTTATCAGAAATTTCAGCATTCTTTCAAATATTACCTTTTCAAATATTTTTGAAAATACAGAAGGAACTGACAATAAACGATAGTTGTTGATGTCACCCATGTTTCCTTTTTTGTGTAGCGGAATAGTTTTTGAACTACTTTTTAGCATCGTGGGAAATTCAGCTGTAGAGAGGCATACATTTATCAAATCACTTAAAGGTGCAGATATGTAAGGGGCTGCCGCTTTTACAATTTTGGTGGGAATTTCATCTAAACCTGTTGATTGTTTATTTGGAAGGCAGGTAATTACATTAAGAATTTCACGTGGGGTAGTTGGATAGAAGTAAATAGTTTCATTCGTGGACACAATGTCTTTCACGGTGTGAGTCTGAATATGCGCAGGAATACGTAGTTCTGCAAATTTATTAGCAAACGCATTGACTATCGTTTGGGGATCAGTAATTAAAGTTTGACCAATTTGAAGTTCTATTTGATTGTGATTATTGGATTTTCCTATGATGCCATTAATTATGTTCCAAGCTACTTTAGATTTATTTTTATTGGCCATAGCGATCTGTGATTCGTTTACAGAGATTTTATAATTATTTATGAATGCATAATATACCTACGTGATGAACAGAAAAATTCTAAAGAAAATTCCTACTTCATTTTTTTGCGGGACAACCCCCAGATCCAAATTCAATCACAGGCGGGTATCAACTTTTAGCAAAATCCAGAGCCTGATCTGCTAGTTTAAAAAAAGTCAGTTTTAATATTACTAAAAGACTGTTATTATATCTTGGTTTTTTTGCTATCCACATTATTTTGTATTTTTTTTAATTTGCTCCCGAAGTACAAATTTTTTAACTTTTCCTATAGAAGTCTTCGGAAACGCCTCCACTATTTCCAAATGACTTGGTATTTTGTAACTGGCAATTTTCCCTTTACAAAATTCTTTTAACGAATCCAAAGACATTTCTGAACCAGGCTTCAACTGCACACACGCGCACACCTCCTCGCCAAGGCGTTCACTGTCTACGCCAATCACCTAAAGGGGAAATAACATTACATTTCCAACTACTCCCAGACAATTTACAGAAACTTCCAAAATGTCAGGGTGCTCGCTTAGACAGTTTTCAATTTCTTTTGGGAAGATATTTTCACCGCCTCGTATGATCATATCTTTCACTCTACCAACGACACGAGCATATCCATCTTTATCGAAAATAAACTGATCACTGTAAAAAGACGTTACTGTTGATGGGAATAACTCATATCCGAGAACGTACCCGGTTCGGTACCAATTTGCATCACAGATCACTTCCTTCGTTTTTTCTGGATCATTCCAGTACCCCTCCATTACTAAATATCCACGCACGCACAGTTCTCCTGGCGTACCACAAGGTACCACATCGCCTTTACTATCCACAACCTTCGCCTCTATATAGTTCGCAATGCGTCCAACGGTTTCCGTTCCCTGATATTCATTGTCGTCTATAGAAGTGTGGAATGCAATGCCAGTTATCTCAGTCGCACCGTATCCAATCTAAAAAGAATCACAGCATATGCTACAACTGAGATTATAAACGGTACAATCACGTGCTTGATTTGGAGACCATCTTTAATGGAGTTTATAACGCTTGGGGGACAGGGTGCACCTCCCATGCCTGCAATAGTAGCGTATATCTTTTTATTTAATTTCCTTTGTAGATTAACTAGATCGACAAACATGGTTGGTGTTCCAAACACTGCCGAGCATCTAAAAATGTATCGCAAGTGAAACGCCTCTCCTAATTCATCAGGGTCCGTGTCGACTGAGTGTCTCATAATTTTGTGCTAGTTTGTGCTGCTAATACAAAATTTTGTGCTCATCATTCGATATATGTGATCCTAGCAAAAACAAAAAAGTTTCGCGCGTAATGAATTTTACTCTGCGCGGATAATTAATGCGCGATTTTGTAGGGCCTGTTACAACTGCACTAGAAAGAAGTATAGGAAATGCGTATGCAGATAAGAAAAGAAGATCCCGACCTCTAGTGGCGAACTAAAGAACTACGGTAGTAACAAATCTACTATAGAAATAACTGACCTCTACTCTAAACGGGTTTACCAAGGAAATACTTAGATGGAACGAGAATACTAAATTTAAATTGGAACGTTGAGTGAGAAATTTATAGCAGGCGCAACTAATTTAGATGAGGGTTATTCCGAGATGCTTAAGTACATACATCGGCGATTTCTTAAAGAGCAGTCGATTTCTGCAGTTGTAGTAGCGTTCGTGTTGTTGGGCGGTGTTTAAGCACCAGAGTCGCGCACGTCTAACACACTCGCACCCCGTCCACTGTGGACTGTGGGGTGTGGGAAGCTTTGGCGAATGAGATGGGGAATATGTACCTATCGCAATTTTACATATTAGTTGCGCCTCTTTACTATTTCTCACTCAACAATCAACGAGTAAAATTCGAAGTTACTTAAATGGAATATAAATTTGTAATATCAATTGGTAAGAAAAGAAACTCCTTTTCTTGTTTTACTCCTGGTTGCCTTATTTACCACCCATCTTCACTGGTTTTATGTAAAATGAACATAAGACTGGAGTAGTGTCTCTACTTTGGTTATGCTATATTTATAGTTAGACCAGAAAAACAAGCAGATATTTAAATTTGTGGTCTCTACGCTTCTTGCTAAACAAAAGCAAAACGTGAAACGTGTGACGGAATGGTTTTTTTCATGGCAAAGCTTAATTTCTATTCGTTAGTCACTTTTTTTCACCAGCCCTGAACGGCTTTTGGGTTTGTGGCTGTATCTCAAAATTGAGCATTTTCTCACAGTCTGATTCCCAATTAACCGAGTTGCAAAAATAACTAAAGCAGGCTAATTTACAGAGTGTAATTTTAAACCAGACAAATTTAATAACAATCTATAGTAATGTCAAGCTGCAACAGAAATGAGCTGTTGTAATTAAGTTGTGCAGTCGAAAATACAATTCCACGTCAATTTCCCTCGCTAAATTTCAAATTAGGATCCATTGAGCCAATGAAACATTGAAAATTTAATAAAAGTCTATGGTGACGTCAAGCTGCACCAAAAATGAGCGGTTTTAATTAACTTGTGCAGTCGAGAATACAATTCCACGTCAATTTCCCTCACTAAATTTCAAATTAGGATTCATTGGGCCAATGAAACATTGAAAATTTAATAAAAATCTATGGTGATGTCAAGCTGCACCAAAAATGAGCTGTTGTAATTAAGTTGTACAGTCGAGAATACAATTCCACGTCAATTTCCCTCACTAAATTTCAAATTAGGATCCATTGAGCCAATGAAACATTGAAAATTTAATAACAATCTGGTGATGTCAAGCTGCACCAAAAATGAGCTGTTGTAATTAACTTGTGCAGTCGAGAATACAATTCCACGTCAATTTCTCTCACTAACTTTCAAATTAGGATTCATTGGGCCAATGAAACATTGAAAATTTAATAAAAATCTATGGTGATGTCAAGCTGCAACAAAAATGAGCGGTTTTAATTAACTTGTGCAGTCGAGAATACAATTCCACGTCAATTTCCCTCGCCAAGTTTCAAATTAGGATTCATTAAACCAATGAAACATTGAAAATTTAATAAAAATCTATGGTGATGTCAAGCTGCAACAAAAATGAGCGGTTTTAATTAACTTGTGCAGTCGAGAATACAATTCCACGTCAATTTCCCTCGCCAAGTTTCAAATTAGGATTCATTAAACCAATGAAACATTGAAAATTTAATAAAAATCTATGGTGATGTCAAGCTGCAACAAAAATGAGCGGTTTTAATTAACTTGTGCAGTCGAGAATACAATTCCACGTCAATTTCCCTCGCCAAGTTTCAAATTAGGATTCATTAAACCAATGAAACATTGAAAATTTAATAAAAATCTATGGTGATGTCAAGCTGCAACAAAAATGAGCTGTTGTAATTAAGTTGTACAGTCGAGAATACAATTCCACGTCAATTTCCCTCACTAAATTTCAAATTAGGATCCATTGAGCCAATGAAACATTGAAAATTTAATAACAATCTGGTGATGTCAAGCTGCACCAAAAATGAGCTGTTGTAATTAACTTGTGCAGTCGAGAATACAATTCCACGTCAATTTCTCTCACTAACTTTCAAATTAGGATTCATTGGGCCAATGAAACATTGAAAATTTAATAAAAATCTGGTGATGTCAAGCTGCACCAAAAATGAGCTGTTGTAATTAACTTGTACAGTCGAGAATACAATTCCACGTCAATTTCCTTCACTAACTTTCAAATTAGGATTCATTGAGCCAATGAAACATTGAAAATTTAATAAAAGTCTATGGTGACGTCAAGCTGCACCAAAAATGAGCGGTTTTAATTAACTTGTGCAGTCGAGAATACAATTCCACGTCAATTTCCCTCGCTAAGTTTCAAATTAGGATTCATTGAGCCAATGAAACATTGAAAATTTAATAACAATCTGGTGATGTCAAGCTGCAACAAAAATGAGCGGTTTTAATTAACTTGTGCAGTCGAGAATACAATTCCACGTCAATTTCCCTCACTAAATTTCAAATTAGGATTCATTGAGTCAATGAAACATTGAAAATTTAATAAAAATCTGGTGATGTCAAGCTGCACCAAAAATGAGCTGTTGTAATTAACTTGTGCAGTCGAGAATACAATTCCACGTCAATTTCCCTCACTAACTTTCAAATTAGGATTCATTGGGCCAATGAAACATTGAAAATTTAATAAAAATCTGGTGATGTCAAGCTGCACCAAAAATGAGCTGTTGTAATTAACTTGTACAGTCGAGAATACAATTCCACGTCAATTTCCCTCACTAACTTTCAAATTAGGATTCATTGAGCCAATGAAACATTGAAAATTTAATAAAAATCTATGGTGATGTCAAGCTGCACCAAAAATGAGCTGTTGTAATTAAGTTGTGCAGTCGAGAATACAATTTCCACGTCAATTTCTCTCACTAACTTTCAAATTAGGATTCATTGGGCCAATGAAACATTGAAAATTTAATAAAAATCTATGGTGATGTCAAGCTGCACCAAAAATGAGCTGTTGTAATTAAGTTGTACAGTCGAGAATACAATTCCACGTCAATTTCCCTCACTAACTTTCAAATTAGGATTCATTGAGCCAATGAAACATTGAAAATTTAATAAAAGTCTATGGTGACGTCAAGCTGCACCAAAAATGAGCGGTTTTAATTAACTTGTGCAGTCGAGAATACAATTCCACGTCAATTTCCCTCACTAAATTTCAAATTAGGATTCATTGGGCCAATGAAACATTGAAAATTTAATAAAAATCTGGTGATGTCAAGCTGCACCAAAAATGAGCTGTTGTAATTAACTTGTACAGTCGAGAATACAATTCCACGTCAATTTCCTTCACTAACTTTCAAATTAGGATTCATTGAGCCAATGAAACATTGAAAATTTAATAAAAGTCTATGGTGACGTCAAGCTGCACCAAAAATGAGCGGTTTTAATTAACTTGTGCAGTCGAGAATACAATTCCACGTCAATTTCCCTCGCTAAGTTTCAAATTAGGATTCATTGAGCCAATGAAACATTGAAAATTTAATAACAATCTGGTGATGTCAAGCTGCAACAAAAATGAGCGGTTTTAATTAACTTGTGCAGTCGAGAATACAATTCCACGTCAATTTCCCTCGCCAAGTTTCAAATTAGGATTCATTAAACCAATGAAACATTGAAAATTTAATAAAAATCTATGGTGATGTCAAGCTGCAACAAAAATGAGCGGTTTTAATTAACTTGTGCAGTCGAGAATACAATTCCACGTCAATTTCCCTCGCCAAGTTTCAAATTAGGATTCATTAAACCAATGAAACATTGAAAATTTAATAAAAATCTATGGTGATGTCAAGCTGCAACAAAAATGAGCTGTTGTAATTAAGTTGTACAGTCGAGAATACAATTCCACGTCAATTTCCCTCACTAAATTTCAAATTAGGATCCATTGAGCCAATGAAACATTGAAAATTTAATAACAATCTGGTGATGTCAAGCTGCACCAAAAATGAGCTGTTGTAATTAACTTGTGCAGTCGAGAATACAATTCCGAGAATACAATTCCACGTCAATTTCCCTCACTAAATTTCAAATTAGGATTCATTGGGCCAATGAAACATTGAAAATTTAATAAAAATCTGGTGATGTCAAGCTGCACCAAAAATGAGCTGTTGTAATTAACTTGTACAGTCGAGAATACAATTCCACGTCAATTTCCCTCACTAAATTTCAAATTAGGATTCATTGAGCCAATGAAACATTGAAAATTTAATAAAAGTCTATGGTGACGTCAAGCTGCACCAAAAATGAGCTGTTGTAATTAACTTGTGCAGTCGAGAATACAATTCCACGTCAATTTCCCTCACTAAATTTCAAATTAGGATTCATTGAGCCAATGAAACATTGAAAATTTAATAAAAGTCTATGGTGACGTCAAGCTGCACCAAAAATGAGCGGTTTTAATTAACTTGTGCAGTCGAGAATACAATTCCACGTCAATTTCCCTCACTAAGTTTCAAATTAGGATTCATTGAGCCAATGAAACATTGAAAATTTAATAAAAATCTGGTGATGTCAAGCTGCACCAAAAATGAGCTGTTGTAATTAACTTGTGCAGTCGAGAATACAATTCCACGTCAATTTCCCTCACTAACTTTCAAATTAGGATTCATTGGGCCAATGAAACATTGAAAATTTAATAAAAATCTATGGTGATGTCAAGCTGCAACAAAAATGAGCGGTTGTAATTAATAACGATTTAAATTAGTAGGACTAATTAGCACAAGATGAGGCCAAATTAATGCAATAAAAGTATGTGAAGTAAGTATCATCAGAAAAAGTTGAACTTCTCATTAACCTTATGACCACAAAATTTTAAATTAGCAACACAAATTAGTACAAAATGAGCACACAATTATGGGTTACTTGGAACTTAATTCCTTTCAATTCGACACTCCAACTTGACGGACCTAATTCATCACCCACCTTTCTTGCTCAAGGGCGGTTAAATTCGCAGTTGAGTTGTAAATTGGCGTTGGAAAAACCATCGTCGTTCCAAACTGTGGACAGAGCCCTAAGTGGGCGACCACCCCAAAAACGTGAAACAGTGGAACTTGTACGCACACCTTATGCTGGACTGTTTCAAATTTCAGTAGTTGTCCAATTTGATAGGAATTATTTACCACCTGAAAGTGCGTCAGACAGGCGCCTTTGGGTAGGCCAGTAGTTCCCTAGAACAGTTCCAGAGTGAGATATCAAAATTCGTTGCACTCTTACCGATGAGAACTGAATGTTGCATATGTCATCAGGTGAAATCTTCCACTGCTCTTCTTTCACTCTTTGCATACCTGCCGCATCGGCCATGTCTAAAACCTCGTTGTAGTTGTAGGTGCCCCTTAGTTTCTGTTGGGAGATCATAATGACGAGCTTCAATGTTGGGACCTCCTCATTCTGAACGGTACCGCCTAAGTCGGGAATTAACTTGCACAACTTTCCGTAAAAATCCAGAGTTTTGAACTTATCGGGGCATACTAGAGCTTTAATTCCGCACTTGTTTATAAAGTACTTCAACTCGGGGGCCTCGCAGCTGGGATTCAAACAGACCTAAAGCTCATCTGTAGATAGACATTGAATTGCTTTGTCACTAACCGTTATAAAACCAGCACGAGCTGTGGCAAAAAACGTAACGACCCACTCGATAAAATTGGGCGCCCATAACCCAATCCGATCACCTTTCACTAAACCCAAACTCAGCAAACCTGCGGCCAGTTGATCAATGTCACGAAGAAGTTCTTCGTACGTTATTCTGATATTATCGGACATTGACACCAGCGCTACGGTTTTGCCATATTTGGACGCGGCATCTTCAATCATACGACCTATGGTTACGTACCTGAGAGGATTCACGCCTGGGTTATGGATGTAACTTAAGCCAGAACTGTGGCATCTACGAGGAAATAGACTAAGTACTTATAACGAAATTTTTGATTCCCTTACGATATGCCAGTTTTCTTGACGGGATCCTTAGGGTTTGTTTGCATTTTGTAACGATATTTATACAACTACTACTTGTTTGTTAAGGAAACTGTTCTCTGTTTTATAGATAAAGGGCGCAAAGGTTATTTAACTTAATTTATCTTCTCACGCAATTATCAACAATAACAAGTTTTCGTTTCGTTTAATAATCCGCATTCATCTTCCCAGCAAATAATATTTTTAGAACTTTTGCTTGCAAAATTTCAAGAACATTTCTTGAGAAACTTTCTATGAACAGTTTTTCGAAACTCAAGAAGAAAAGCCGCTAACGGTCAAGATATGACCACAAGAACCAGGTATAAGCCATCAATTCGAAGAGTATGCAATGAGGTAGTCTTTAAAATTAGCAAGAAGAAAGTTGTGGCACCTCGATCGGAGAAAGTCGATTTTGATCTGTGGAATCCAAGAAATTGTATACCCATCAAAATTTGATCACCAGAAACACAGATAGAATCATCAATTCGAAGAGTACACACCACCGATACCTTTAAAATTAAGCAAGAAAAGAAGATTTCTTCCCATGAAAATTTTGCCTGGTCTTCCATAGCCTTCAATAGCGTCTGGTAATCTTTTTATTTGAATTTTGTTAAACATCTTCATGAAAACCTTCGGAATTTTCTTACGAATCGATGACTTCATAGAAGCCGCTTTAAAAAAGCTCTTAAGAATCTTCTAAGAAATATTTGTCGAGTCTCGGAAACCTTTGAAATCTGTTCAGAAAGTTTTTTTTAAACAAATGAATCTTCTCGTAAATAAATAACTGGAATAGAGAACAGTGATTGGATAGATTATCATTGGCTGTGGTTTCGGGTTTAGATTTAGTAACCAAGAAAATGTATTCACTCTCCTAATGGAGTAGATCGAACGGTTTTTTGTAATTTAATTTACCCAAAATCGTCCTGAAACCTTCATTTTCATGCCTATTTTCTGTCAGGTAACTTTAGTTTTCATGACAGAGGCAGAGCAGAATACGTTTCCTGCCGTTTTGTCACTTTACTGGTCGCATCTGTCAGTTTACCGGCCGCACCGTCACTTTACCGGCCGCATTTTTGACATTTCCAAATGTCTATAATGACTCCTGTCATCACTGACAGATGATATTAATCAAATATATAAAAATTGAAATTTTGTATTAAAAGACGATTTCGGGTAAAATTTAATACAAAACTCGTCAGTAAAATGACATTACCCGACTCGGAAATTAAAATACTTCGCACTTCAATATTTCCTCGCCAGTAATGTATCATTTTCCTGACTTTTATAACTATGAATTTAGATGTAAATGGAGTTTTTTCATCCACCGTGTATTGAAATATAATAGCCAAATCAGTCACTGGCATTTTTCCTTGACCACGGCTAATGTTAGTTCAATTTCACTTCGTAATTTATTAATTAATACACGACGAATATTAAGAAATTGCATTCTTTGACGTAGATTTAACATTTGGAGGTTCCACCCAAATAATTGGCAAACTAAGAGAAAAAACGATGGAGGCGCCCAAGAAACTAAGACCGGGGACCCATGTGAAGTTGGCCCCGCCCACATGAAGTAATTTGACAAAAATTAGTGCTACTTTAGTGCCCTTTAGTTCTTGAAGCCTATTGTTAGTGCTGCTACATAACACGAGAAAAATTTAAAAAAGCGGGGCGGGGCCAACTTTACAATCAACTTTTACTTATCGAAATAATGAACACACACGGCGTTAGTGCTGTTAAATACCATACAAATAGTATCTCAAATTCTTTCGCTGTTCCTAAAAAAGTCAAGTATGAAATTTTGTTTGATGTGTGTACTGACTTGTTTGTCTTGAAGGGACGATCACGGAGGTGGCCAAAGCTGTAACCAAATTAGTTACAACACTCAATACCGGGGCTGATCTCGGCAATCAACTGTAGGAGCGAAACCCCAAACGAGGGGCGAGTTATCCATCTCGGGGGCGAGAGTCTGGTAAAAAAAATTCTTAGGTTTAGAATTGAGTCCCTGATTTCCACACAGGTTGTCGTTACATTGAATTTGCCTTACAGAGCCATGTAATTTTCCGTCTTGCTCCTAACAGAAGGATTTTATTGAGTCACATTTGACCCTTTTCAGAATTTCAGTGTTTTATTTTACGTTCCTTCCCTACTGTACTTCAGGTCATAGCGTTGTTTACAACTAACGAAAGGGGGTACCGCTTTAGATGTTGCATTACGTGCCACTTGCGTGCAGAGGAGGCCAAAAACGGACCCACTTGTCACAGCTCTCATTCCCGACTTCCGATTTCGATTCCGCTTCATCCGTTCCTGCCTGTTGCCAAGTCTGAAAATGGATCGAAATTCAATTCAATACCTCCTTTACTAACGTGCGAGTGGTAAAAATGAGGCCGGATATGGTAGAAACGTGATTTCTCATATTCCGGCCGAAATGGCGCCAAATATAGTTGAGTGGATCTAACTTTTTCCAGAATGCACTTACATTCAAGTTTCTTATATATTGGCGTAGATTTTTGGGGCCAAGAAACACAGTGAAACGGTAAAAAATGTAACCAGAAGTTGAAAACCGCGATTTTTCATATACAGGGTCTTTGATAAGTCTGGAAACGGTCGATTATCGGCGAAAATATACATGATATCGAAATATGTTTTATATAAAAGTTTTGGGGTGCTTCAATGTCTACTAGGGACTAATAATTTTAATTATACAGGGTTGATCGTAAAAGCGCGACACACTAAAATTGCATTTTTTTTAACGGAACACCCTGTATATTATTCAATATTTTGATTCTTCTCTTTTTAAGCAAGATTTGTAATAACCATAATGTACCTGAATTCATTCGTTTCCGGGTTATCGAGTTTTGAAAATAAACGCGCCATTATTTTAAAATTCAAAAAACAATAATTAATAATCGCAACGGTTCTGTTTTCAAAAGTAATTCGTGATGTCATTAATTATTGTTCTGTATTCAATACATTTTAAAGGAAATTCGTTCTGCTTCAACATTCTTTATGAGTTTTAGTGAGAGGACTTTTGCCTAGCTCATCCAGAAGTGAGCAGAAATCACTACGTAAAACCTTTAGGGCAGTTTTTGAAGCAAACTTTGAGGTTGAATTACACCCTGTGAATGTGATGGCATGATATTATTATTATGGTCGGTGTTTCTTGTGAGAACTCCGGTCCAGCCTGGTTAACTAATCGCACGGATTAAATTCAAGTAACGATTAGTGTCGCAAAAAGTGTAGAAGCCTTTTTTGTAGACCTCATCAAGACACATCTTTTTTGTGATTGATATTTTATACTCTAATGCTTATTTTACAATGAAATTTAGAAAAATAAAAGAAATAACTTTTGAATTCAAAACTTTTCAAACACAAAGGAACTCACAAAAAAATTGTAATGAACTTTTTTGTAGTTTTTTAAGCCATTTTGGCCAATGTATGCGAAAAAAATTTTTTCAAGCCGTTAGACTTAACATTTTGACACTCTCAAGAACCTTGAAGATGGTTACGGATCAAAACCAAAATAGGACGTTTTCGATTCCCCACACCACCCTATATGCACCCCGAATATAAGTTATAACATGAACCATAGAAATAAATAAAATAGATTTAAACTAAAAAAGTGAATATATTCATTTTTTTAAATCATTTTAATTCCTGTTTTAATTGATGTAATTTTAGCTTATTAAGTAAATATTTAAAAATTTCGCGACACCCTTATGAAGTGCTTTCGGCACACACTTTAAGAACCACTATATTATACCGTTTACAAAAAAAAATTTTTGCAAAAATGCGCTAAAAATACAGTTATGGACAAAAGACACTGTGGAGACTTACTGAAGGACACTAGAGGAACAGGAAGAAGAAATTGGAGAAGAGTGGAGGATTTGACGAGAGTATTAAAAAGGCAACAACGTAGAAAGAGGTACGGAAAAGGGATAGGAGGAATAAAAGAAAGGAGTGGCTGCAAAGAGTGTATAGAAAAGAGAACAGAATGATGGCGCAAGACAGAAAGAAAGGAAGAGATAGATGAAAAAGTACAAAAGAAAATGAATGAAAAAAAAGACGGAGAAATAGAAAGAATATGAAGGGATCGGAGAAATAAAAAGAGCGAAGGTTTTTGGAAGGTGATAAACCGGGAAAAACTTAATAAGTGGGAGAGAAATAAATACAAATAGAGAATTGGAAGCAGCATTTTATGAAGAAACTACAAGGAAATCAAAAGGAAAAGAAATATGAGATGGAAGGAGACGAGATATCAAGAGATTAAGCAGCAATTAAGAGACTCAAGAAAGTGACAGCAGCAGAGAGAGATGAAAAAAGTAATGAGACATGGATTTTCGCCATAGATAGTATCAAGGAGAAACTGAAGAAACAAATAAATAAGACATGAAAAGGAAGAGGAGTACCGTAAGAATGGAAGGAAGTATCGATTTGCAAAAGAGAGGACAAAGACTGTATGGAAAATTATAGGGGATAATGATGACTACGTATAGAATATATGCCATGGTTTTGAACAGAATGTCACAAAAGGAAATAGAAGGAAAGAGGAAACACAAATGGAAGAGGAAGGAACGATTGTATTTTTACGTGACTTTAAAGGTTTATCTGGTCAGGTATTGATAAAAATTGATATCGGACAAGAATTAATTAGTTTTTCCACAAACAATGTCACGTGCAAGATAAGCGATGCAGGTGTTTTATCAGTTTTGTCGGCGTAGATGGAATCTCGAGTGTCGTGGGAACAACGATTTTGATTTTATTAGACGAGGTGCAAGAAGTTTTTACACATAGAATTTCGAGTTTTAAAAGTGTCTGTTATCAAGCGTTAAGAAATAATTAGTGTCGTGTCATACAAGAAAAGTCTTACCATCCGAGCAGCCACAAAGTTAAGTGCGATTGTCTTCGAGCCAGTTGTAGTGTATTAAAACTGAGTTTTTTTTTGTTTCTGTTGTTGGTAGTCCTAATGAACTTTTTTGTAAAAGACAGTCGGTCTTGGTGGTTGTAAAGTTGTTACAGAAAAAAGTTACATAATGCTCTAAGTTAAAGAAGTGAACAAGTTAGTTTTCGTGTTCTTTGTGCG